GGCTTATCCCATAAAAAGGGATAAATAAGTAAGTTAATATTTATGATTAAAGTCATTATACTGTCGTTTTAGAACATTTAGCAGAAATTCTAAATATGAGTAGATTAAAAAAAATGATTGTTATAACACAGACATACGGACACCACAATCTTAGTAGTAGGAAAACAAGGAATTCTAAAAATGTCCTCTGTAACAAAGCACCTTTCCTAATATAGAACTGCCCTCTTTCTCTATACCGACGAACCATTGTCTACCGATTCTATGAAATATCGTACAACAAAGAACAGAATGCGGTCAAACCATGTGTTTCTAGTAAAAGGCGGAAAGAAAAATATGGATATGACAACATCTCAACAACTGTGTATATAAACAAACCATACAAACTTAATACACCTGCACTTATCCACTCTCTGACGAGTTTAGAAGAAGTTCTAAGCGCGACATATCACCCTCAACAACTTCCAGCATAACTTAACACATAATGTACCTAAATAACGCGTTGTAATAGATTTTGCCGTAATGCGTCAAACAGCAATAATTTATGGGCAGATATTTGGCAAGCATCGCGGTCCGGAAAAGCGTGATAATTTCTAGTGAGTGGGTGCACCGTTTAAGGCGGCGGACGCATGTTTCATTGCAATCGTGACATATTTTTCGGTTATTTTGTTTCACCTCTTTGGCCCGTATTGGCATTTGTAATTTCACAGGCAGATTTAAGTGCTTCGATTCACCAATACACTAGTGATATATTACGATTACTTTATTCGTTCGTTTCAAAGTTGCTGTTATAAATATCGATAATTTTCTCTTTTAAAATTATGTTTCTGACCTCTCTTACACTTGAATAAATGTTACGAAGGAGTATTCTTTCATATTTTTAATTGAAGGCACTTTTCTCAAGACCTTTATGAGGTATCCTTTTTTTTTAGTTAGGAGCTGTTTTAATGTTTATTGTTAGTTATTTTATTATGTTTAGTTTATTTGTAGTTGTATCGTCTAAACTATTTGAAATTATTTTTGTATCTTTTTTTTACTAGAATGGCATGCACTGATAGTAGAAATTAAAGTTCTCTTAAAAGGATGGTTAAAAAACTTAATTTATATTTAACACAATAGAAAGGCGTTCGAATTACATCAAATACTGCTAAGCTTAGTAATAATAAGAATTTCTAGTAAAAAGGAACCATTACTGGAATGTTCGATTCAAGTATTTGAACTAAAATAACCCTTTTCCGTTGAGTACTTCGACAGAAATGCAAAGTACTTGTGTTCTGTGGAAAAACACAAACCGAATACGAGTAGGTACTTTAAAACATATATTTTCTAGTTAGCTTGTAAAAATTTAGTTTTTGAGTCATCGCAGTGCGGTTGATACATACGATCTGAGCCCGGAAAATATAATTGTACCGTCATGCCAAATTAATTATTTTGAAATAGGTTCTCCACCTTTCATCATCGTCATCCGAAATATATTTACTCCTATTTTTTTTATTTTAAGGGAGTTAATTATAACCTTCAGATCACCACAGACAGGGCCCAATAGGGCTGATGCCGATACAAAGCCTCGGAGGACTTATCGGGTTGCCGGGGCTCCGGTTCGAAAGGCAGGAGTAGGAACGAGGTGGTTTTTAGTCAGTAAGAGTCTGCAATCCGTTAAGTCCTCCTCTGCTCTGTACTACTAAACATAATGCCTTCATCATTAGTGGAAAATGGTTAAAATCTCCAAGTTTAACAGACGACTTTAAGATCGCAGTAAAGTCACCAAAAGTTTAAAGTATGCACGTCGAGAATTACCAGTTAACCGAAAACTATTATCTTATTTAAAGTACTGGTCGGTTACACAAACAATTATTATTTGCCTCAACTACTAATTATCAACCAATACGTTATTTCTCATAAATAGTTCGATGTCTTTGTTGGTCAAGTGGTTACAATGCGATTACGAAGATCCGATAAAAAAGTAATTAGGATTTTCAAACTCAGTAAGACCATGGGTATTTAAGAGGCACGCCGTTGCTGCCGTTGTGGAAGCTATCACTGTGTATGGAAATTGGCTCATGATTAGATTCATCAGACTCTTTTGGATGTATAAGATTTAATAACTATAGGGGAAAATTATTACTGTTTAACTAATCCGTATGTCATACAATGTTATCAATCCAATACCAACATTGTGCCTATGCCTCACAGGGAAATCTTTCAAGTTTGGTTAGGAACCATGTCGCAAGAAGGCAGTTTAAAAATACATGTAGAAATAAACCTAATACCAAAAAGCTAAAACCAAGTACACCAACACAAAATTTATAAGCACCAATACTTTTTGAAGTCGGAAAAAAAACGTAGGTAGATTCCCTGCGGACAATAACAAGAAATGTAAACATGTAAAGAAGATTATTATGATATTCCTTCTTATATGTTTTTACAAGACAAAACAACTCCTACGGGGATATTAGAAGGTTAAAGACTGATAAAATTTCTCATATGATGTGGCTAAATAAAGCAATGTGTTATATTATACGTAAATATGCTACGGTTATCGAGTTGGGAAAGTTCTAGCTGGTGCTGCTGAGCAGCATGTTAAGAGGTCCATTTGGACTTCAGAAAAGGTACTTACTTATTTGTGTAATCTCCTAGTCGTATAGTGTTTATATTGTGTTATGGCCGTGCGTGTGTGTGATTCTCTTCTATGACGCGCCATAGCACTCCTATCCCACAATATTAACATCAATAACCCATGGGAGTTCAGTGCTTGACTGTGCGGTTGTTATAATCTGTACGATGGCCGATTAAAGATCGCAGTATAAAAAGTTGTAATGAACTAATAAAATATAACAAATATAACATGCTATTAAATTGAAATCGAGATTTACTTACCTATCTCTATAAATAAACATAAGGAAATAAATATAACGAACGGCTTCAACGATTTGGCTAATTTTGGTCTCGAAATTTTCGTGGAAGCCTAAGTCTAAGAAGTTTAAAAGGTGAGAAAATATTTTTTTAAGCGGTACGGACTTTGCCGGGTCAGCTAGTACTGAATTATAACTATACAGATTACGCGAAAATAAAATTAGTAAACATCACATTCTTAACTATTTATTACCTACATCATTTTGTTCATCATATGGCTGAAGCTATATTTTGGGTTGGATCAAATACAATAACAGCGCGTACTCTGATTTTAGTTTCGATCCTATAGTTTCCGATGTTCCAAATAACCTCGACGACGGTCACTTTCAGCCTTCAACTTGTTAACGCAAATAACTACAAAACGAGCCATACGAACGTGCAAAGAAGTCTGTTACTTAATTAAACACTTAAATAAAATTACTTAACTGAACAAAAATCGAACTATCAATTAAAATTTACAGTTGTTAAAGGCCGTCGCATACCTAACAAGCCTGGCTCCAACCCAGCAATTAACTTGTCAATTAAATACGAACTTTAAATTGTATGTTGTATGATGTATTTCATGATGTATTTCAATACAAAAAGCCCACGATTGGTAGTCAGTGCACGGTCCTCTCGAGTTGTAGCTGAGGCGCCCTCCCGTTTCTAGCGTGCGGGCCGCGTACTTACCGCTGGCCGCGAAGTGGAAGCGCACCGATGGCGAGTCGACTGCGAGCCGCCGCTAAGCACGAGAGAAAAAACGTCGCATCGTAGAAAGGTACTGTTGACTATACTCGTGGTGACAAAAATCTTCCCCCTCGCGGCCGGCGCACCGGCGATGCGCTTCCACCTCGCGGACGGCGTGCTAGCGATGCGCTTGCACCTCGCGGCCGGTGAGCCGGCGGCACTTTTACAATTCACAGGCGGCGCGTCGTTAGAGCTTTAGCGGCTAGCGGTAGGCCAATAGGAAACAACGCCATACTGGAACCGTGTTTGTTAGATGTGCGATGGCCTTTAGGGTTTATATTTCACCGAGCCACCATGACGGCAAATCCAGTCGTACCATCGTGGCGTTCGTAAACTACCAAACAAGACACTAGAGTCCAAACACCACACTACGACAGTATCAAAATAAACCACTAATGCTGGCGTCCGTGTTGGTCGCGCCGACTGGTTACGCCGCCATGGAGCCCCGTTGAAATATTACCCCAAGTAACCGATTTTCGTTAACAACACACTCGACTATTTTACGTACTTGAACATAATTTACTAATAAGTACACTTGAAAAGTCATCAAAATCATTTATACACTAAAATTTCCTACAAAATTCCCACCAGTTACCTGAAATAAGTTCAGAAGTTTATGAATATACACAAGAATTTCTCATTATGAAAGATTATAATTCTATTTATCTAATACTATTAATAGTTTATAGAAACTTGTTACTAAGTTTAAAAAAAACCGTATTTTCGTTATAGAAAAATAGTAAAATCCATTTAATATTCTTTCTTTAATTTTTATTACTATCAATACTATTTTATCCAGAAGTAAACTTATACAGAATAAACCTATCACGAATAAAAAATGTCGATTACTTTGTCAAACTGGAAAATTGTCTGAGGCAAGATTTGCACCTGAACAAGTAAAGCATGAAACTTATTGTAAACGCAACATTTGTAAACGAAATTTAGGAAGTTTCATCGAGCAACGAAATAGACCATTAAGCGAGATTATTAAAGAAAAATAAAAGTAATAAAACAAGTCATGCGTATCGTGTAGAAAAGAGGATGTAGAGGCCAGTGGAGGGAGGGTTGGGAAGGGCGGGCAACAGTCCGTCCGCCCAGCCAGTCGCTAGTCAACGACGCTCGCGTTGTGACGCTTCTACTAACCGGACTAGTCGACGCTCTCAGAACTTTGTTCCAACCGAACTCTATTTCCCCGTGGGCGCGCGATCGCCGCGCGAAGATTTGAACTCAGTGCGTGAATGAAAATGCTATTCCCATTTTATGCATAAAAGTTGTTTTTTATTTTCCATAATGGCTTTTAAAGTTTTTTTCAAAATTTTTCGGCTTGGTTTTGTTTTGTTTTTGTTTATGTATCACGAAGGTAAACTCGTAAGCAGCCAGCCCCAGAATGGTGGAGAAAATAAAATTCCTATTGGTGAGTAATTTTTATTGATAATATAAAATGATGGTAAGCAATTTATTTACTTTGGTGACACAATACGGATTTTAAATAAATTTAAATTTTACTTTTTCTTTTTATAGAGGTATAATTTTAGCTGATTTACAAACATAATTAAATCATTATAATTATTTTTCCAAAATTATTATAGGCTAAAAATAAGAAGAAAAATCAAATCTTTCCAAATTTTCACTAAGTATTCAACTGAACAACTCCACTTTGTGAGTTTTGAGCTGACAAAGTTTTTGAATATCGGGATATTGTATTAAGTAAAGATTTTCAAATAATGAAGCTTAATTGTATAAAAGTTCAATGGATTGTTCAATTACAATAAGTATATTGCTCGTATTAAATATTGTACATGGAATATTTTTTTGTCTCCATCCGTAAACTATAAAATGTAACTTGGCGGCTGTCAGTCTAACCGTTAGATACGCGCTCAGAGAAATAAAGCACACAAAGGTCTTTTTTATATTTTTAATCCATCTAATTGTACTATTGTCACCATTGTAAATTTATTGTAATATGGTATGTCATTTAGGGTGTGCGAGCCGATGTTTCCAGAAACAACAAAAAAGCATTAAAGGTGAATCGCCGTCGCAGTTGTTTTGCTATCTCGAAGATGAAATGCGGCTGCAATCACACCTGCACCCGTATCAATTCAGCAGTCATAAATATTTTAGGATTTTTTTTTAAGGGGGATAATCATCTAATGACTGCTCCCGCCTGGGTGAGGCGGGAGGGAGTGTCAGACTCTTACTGACTAAAAACAACCCCGTTCCTTCTCCTGCACGTCGAGCCGGAGCCCCGGTTACCCGTTAGGTTCTCCGCGACTCCGAATAAATATTTTAGGATAAACTTGCATCTAATAGGATATTTTTGAAAAAGCTCGCTTAAATTGAAATAATTGTATTTGGTTTAATCCGCATTTTTATAACTCTCCACCACAAAACAAGGTGGTTGGCAAGGATGGTATTTCTTGAATTTAATGAAGACTGTGTGACTGTGATTTAAGGTGAAATTTTTTCCGAACCAATTACGTTAACATTACTATTGTACTAGGTACTAAGGGCAGATATTTCAATTATCAGTTAATTCTAGACTGTAAAACAAAATTGACATTTGACAGTTTTTAGTATGGAAGAATTGTTAAATATTCAAAGTCATTCCTAAGTTAAAATTTATCTGGCGTTAGAAAAATTATCCCTATGAGTTTTTAACAAGCCGTCTCGCTAGGTAGTAGTTAGTAGCATCATATTTTTTCATTACGCCATTTTATTTCTTATATTATAAAATACTAAAAATTGAGTTGAAGAGTGTTCGCATAGTTTGACTTTTGGACTTTCTGGGACAAAATGAACTGCTTCATTCATTGTAATATTTTCATACTTATTTACATTACATTTACCAACTTCTGATTTTATTAGTTATTTAAAAAGGATTACTTTGAAAGTAATAAGGTGTGGTTGAGCTCGTCAATAGAGGTAAAGTTAACTTTTACAACTTGCTCGAAACTTTTCATAAATACTTAAATCAGGTATATTTATTTTATTGGGTTCTTTTGGCTTCGAATCAATTCGATTTTAGTATGACATTGCCTACATAACTTATATTATGAGTACAGTAAATTTCCATTTTATCTGTCTAGTACTTTATTTCTGGCTTTGATATGTAGGTAGTACATTTTAGATACACATATTGTAATATATGTCAAAGATAAAAATGTAGGTATTAAAAAAGTAAGGCCCTTAAATACTCGCATGTCCTTACTTTTTAGATGATACTGTATCTTATTTCTTGAATGGAATAAGTCGGTAAATGAGCAGATAGAACACCTGATAGTAAGCAATCGGTGCCGCCTATGGTCACCCGAAACACAAGAGGTGTTACAAGTGCGTTACCGGACTTTTGGGGATTCGGGGATTAGAGACATTGAGGAGGAAGTATTTGGGCCTTCAGCAACCTCACTCACACAGTGAAAAACAAAGCAAGTACCTTTTGTTTTACGTCGGTTTTCTGTGAGACTATTGTATCACTCCAGTCGAGCCGCCTCATTCGTACTAAAGCATGGCTCTCCTACACTTCATATCATCAAAATAATTATTATGTTATTATTAATTGTGTAATGAACTAGACAAACAGAAGGCTGAATGGTCTTGGATCAGTAGTAGGTACTTACATTTTGTTTGGGATAAGCTGAATCGCGTTCATTCTTTCGCCATAATCTTTTACCCACTTTTAAAGATATTTCAATCGACGGATTTTGGACGCTGGTACTTTTATGTGGTATTTTGTCCTCACCACGACCAACTAAGAAGAATTTATTTTTAAACGCATAATATCACAGATACGTCGAATAAGGGACAATTTGAGCGTATACTCAAGGGAAATTTCAAAGATAGTTCTAAATTTCGAAGTGATTGAATTTCTCGGGTTCGATTATCCTGGAATCTTATTAGGCCATCTTATCTAATTTGCTAACAATAAATGCTTTGTCAGAGGCCTTCCTGTCCCATTTTAAGGGATAATAAACACAATAATATTATATTCCAGAAATAAATAGCTTTATAAAATGTTACAAAAGTACAGGTATCAATGAATTTATTTTTGTGTTAATGTTGGTTAGTATTTTTATTAGTGGAATTACCAAATTTGTGTGCGATCTTCGACCCGGCTGAAATATTAAAAGAATTTTCCAATTCTTTGTTCGGGAGACTTATCTTATTATGTGATTTAAACGAGTTTTGCACGTAGAAGAATACCAGACTCCCCCCCTATTATATAACACTGAACAAAATGGTAACGCAAGCGTTTCAAAAAATGAAAAATTTTTAATTATTAAAAAAGTTCAAAATATAAGTGTTCTCATCTAACCGTCCGGCTTGGAAGGTAAATCAGTAACAAATCAGTCCGGTTAAATTAAGAATCATTGATTCAGACTGATTTGCACAAGATATATGAATGGTTATAAAGTTAAATATCCAAACTAACAATATTTTCTTAAAAATATACTTATTTTTTAATCTAGACAGTTCGCGTCAGTGTGTATTCCGGACTTTAGCATAAACTTTGCGTTCTAAGTTTAAAAAATTGGAGCTACTTCCTTGTATGACTTACGGTTTTAAACTCCTCCTTAAGTAAGCTTAAATCGTCGGAGAAAGATAGAGGGTAAATAAGGTCGTAATAATTTAATGTACCAAGTCAAACATTTCAAAGAATAAAAGCGAACGTTAAGTCTCTTTTCTAGTTGCTAGTTAATATACAACATGCTCCTCATTTTTACATGTAAAAAGTAAATGTAGGCGCATGGCGCATAAATGTCAGAATTCTGCAAGCCACGGCGACATGTAACGTTGTTGCGTAGTGACGTTGGAGATGTGGACATACCCAAAGAAAACCCATCTATTCTTTTCCGAGATACAGTACCGTAAATGGCAGGAATATAATTTTTCTTTATTAAGTGTCTTCTCAGCGCTCTGTAATGGCAAAGCTAGGAAGTGCCAACTTCATAAATGAGTGAATCTAGCTGATGAGGTGCATATCTCTTTTACCGACATTAGGCCACATTCAGCAATAAGGTTCTTTTGACCTGTATCCTACTATTATAGCTATTAAAGAACTCTAATAACTGATTTTCGTTCAGGGTTTGCGTTGAGCCTACCAAAAAACAAGCAATCAAAGAGTTTTCGATCCATAAAAGAACCTAGGTACGCCGAGATAATTTACTGAACCTAAGTAAGGGTCCAGTGGAGAGTAAATTACAATAAAATAGTCCGCTATAGACTATATTACAATTAGTTTTAATATTGATTAATCGATACAAATAGAATAGCTTTCATCTCAATATATGATTAGCCTAAAACATCAATTAGGTGTTGGTGACAAATTTATCAACAAGCTAAGGATCAATAAATATGTAAAGGGCGATTAAAGTAATCTCTAAGGTAATAAAATGATTTATGGGGTAAGAATTCAATTACGTAAAGAACAATATAATATAGTAATTTCCTATATTACTATTGTTAAGCTGAAAGTTATTATAATTAGACTTTTAGATCAATCTCCTCAATCATGATCACTGAATTACCGTTGCTATCAATAAGCGACTGTGATTTAAGCAATATAATATTAGAATAATTTTCCACGGCTTAATGTGAAAACATGGCGCAGTAAGAGTCTGACACTCCCTCTTACCTCACTAAAGGCGGGAGAAGGAAATGGATAATTTTCCCTCCTGAAAAAAAAAACAGTATGCTTTCATAGTATATGTATAATATCTATATATACATTTTAAGAAGTTGTGACCGTATAGATCGTTTGAAATACGTTATGTGCAGACATGGTACCTGTTTAAACTTGAAGCTCTAATCAACTGCTCTTTACCCGACTGATGTTTGACGCACTCATCAACAGTCCAGTGTTTTCTCCTTAATTCTATTTGAGCACCTTCCAACCGTTCCTATTGTAATTACAGGGTTTGTAAAGATTAATTATGTCCGTTTGTTTTTCTTTTCGTCACCATAATTACGTTCATACATTAATTGTGTTACCAAAATTATTTTTTCGGAGTAAATGAATGATGTCCCCTCTTCTCTTTTACTGCGTTAATTTCCTCAAACCAGATTGTTTTTAAGCTATTCTAACGACGTAGAATTTTAAACGTACGTTTATTTTCGAAATGTTTGCTCTTTTAGTCGAATGTGGAATGAGAAATATTTTATTATAATATATGCAATGGAAACTTACCTCGCCTATAACTTTTTAGTCTGCGTTTTCGCTATATAACATTTTTAGTTTTTTAATAATTTGACTTATCTTGAAGACTCAAACCGGCATGCGATAGAAAAGTAAACCAGTAGTAAGGGAGACCATTTCTTACGATTGAACTGAAAGTGAATATGAAGATAAGGGTTTAAAAAAGTTCTTTATAAATATACTAATCGTGTATTGGTTCAAATATAAAAGATTTATTTCTA